AGACGGCCATTTGAGCAGCGAGTCCGAGAACGAGTACGAGATGGAAGGAGATTACAATCCACACCAGGGGAATCCTCACCAGGCTCCCCCGGTAAATCAGGTCTTGGGGAACAACCCCATACCCCAGGCAGATGGGGTTCATCATCATCCACCGCCGCCGGGTCCCACCTTGGAGTACTACTACACTCCACGAATTGCTGACATCCGCCCGGTCATCCTCTACCCACCTATTCCAGCGAACAACTTCGAGATCAAGCCATGCTGGATTCAACTCATTACATCCTCTATCCAGTTCCATGGCTTGAAGGATGAGGAGGCAAGGGTACATCTTTCCCGTTTTCTGCAGCTGACGAACGGGTTCAAGCTGAACGGTGTCCCTGATGATGAAATCCGCCTTCACCTCTTCCCCCATTCTCTGGCGGGGAATGCCAAGAGGTGGTTGGAGACCCAGCCCCCATTGTCCATCACTTCTTGGGATGATCTAGCTGACAAGTTCGTGCACAGGTCCTACCCAGCATCGAAGACCACAGAGATCCAGCGGGAGATCACTCACTTCCGCCAAGAGCCAGACGAGTCACTTCATGATGCATGGGAGCGGTACACGGGATATTTCTGGCAGTGTCCCCATCATGGCTTCAGTGATGCATTCACAGTGGGGAACTTCTACAGTGCTCTCTCTCCGGACAGCCAGAGGGTGATTGAGTCTCTATGCCCAGGAGGGGATATTCTTACTAAGACTCCACCCGAACTGAACCAGATGATCAATACCTTGGCTGCCAGAGATCATTCCTGGGGGCAGAGCAGCAGAGGCAGACATTCCCGGGACCGTGGTGTGCACGCCATGGAGACCAGATCCGGGCTCGAGCAGCAGGTGGCCGAGTTAGTGCAGACATAGAAGCAGCCCAACAGTCTTATTCTGGGCAGAGGTTTGGCTACACCTCCAGTAGCTCAATGTCAGTGGTGTGAGAGCTCAAATCACCTAGTGGAAGACTGCCAGGCTATGAGGGAGTCTTCTACTCCCCAAGAGCAGTTGGACTTCATCGCCAATGCTCGGCACCTCGACCCGTACAGCAATACATATAATGAGGGGTGGCGCCAGCATCCCAATTTCTCTTGGAGCAGCAACACCACTAAACCACCTGGTTTCCCAGCACCAGCTGGTGGTTTTCATTAGAGGCAGCCTTTCCAGGCTAGACAAGGGCCAGCCCCACAGCAAGAACCCTACCCGCCTAGGCAGGGGCAACCATTCCAGCAGCCCCAACATTAATATGGTGAGCCAGCAGTAGCTCCTAGGCGCTAGCATAAATGTCATGCCTTACAAATTGTTTAAAAAGCTAGACCTAGGTGAACCTAGAGCTACTAGGATGAGCATTCAGTTAGGTGATCGTTCCATCGTGCATCCTAGGGGTATCATTGAGGATTTGCTTGTTAATGTGGGTGCATTCACATATCCTGTTGACTTTGTTAATTTGGTATATAAATGAGGATGTGGATGTACCTTTGATTTTGGGTAGACCGTTTCTCGCCACCGCCAAGGCGCTTATTGATGTGCATAGTGGTAAATTGATTCTGCGTGCTGGTGATGAACAAGCTACTTTTTCTGTGTCTGAGAATGGGAAACACTCTCATTTGCATGATGACATAGACTACAGTGATGTGCATGCTGATTTTGAGACCGCACTCGCTATAACGAGTGCGGGTACTGACGATGCTCTTGAGCGTTGTATTTTGCTAGGTGAGCAGGCATCGCAGGAGCCGCAGCTGGCGGAGCAGTCGGCCGAGCTGGAGAGTGGCACAACCCTGGAGGGCGACCGGCTGTTCAAATCGATCTCATCCTCACCCCGCATCACTACCTCCTTGGAGGAACCACCAGAGCTGGAGCTTAAGCCCCTCTCTCCTCACTTGGAGTATTCATTTCTCTGGGAGGGGAATAAGCTTCCAGTCATCATCAGCTCGTCCCTCACACCAGAGTAGAAGGACAAACTGGTGGCCTTGCTCAAGCGGCACGAGCGTACCCTAGCGTGGAAGATCACAGATATCCGGGGGATCAGCCCTTCCTTCTGCTCCCACCGAATACTGATGGAGGATGAGATGCGGCCAGTGAGACAGCCGCAGAGAAGACTGACACCAAACCTGGAGGCTGTGGCGAAGACCACTTTCACCTGTCCCTTCGACACATTTGCCTACTGGAGGATCCCGTTCGGGCTATGTAACGCCCCCGCCACTTTTCAGCGGTGCATGCTCGCCATCTTTGACCGTCTGGTCGACGAGATTATGGAGGTGTTTATGGACGACTTCTCGGTTTACGGAGACTCATTCTCTCACTGTCTCCATAACCTGGAACTCGTCCTTAAACGGTGTGAAGAAACGAACCTGGCACTGAGTTGGGAGAAGTGCCACTTGATGGTTCGCGAGGGCATAGTTCTGGGGCATAAGATCTCCAAGATGGGGATTGAGGTGACATAGCAAAGATCGAGACAATCAGCAAGCTGCCTCCTCCTACATCTGTTAAGGGGATCCGGAGTTTCTTAGGCCATGCAGGGTTCTACAGGCGGTTCATCAAGGATTTTTTGAAGATCGCCCTGCCCCTGACTAAGCTTCTAGAGAAGGATGCCCCCTTCCAGTTCACTGATGCATGCACATCGGCCTTCACGACCTTGAAGGAGAAGCTCACTCAAGCTCCTATCATGGTTGTTCCTGACTGGTCCCTGCCATTTGAGCTGATGTGAGATGCCAGTGACTTTGCTGTTGGAGCTGTATTGGGGCAGAGGCGAGATTAGCATTTCCAACCTATCTACTACACCTCGAAGTCCCTGAATGATGCCCAGGAAAACTACACCACCATGGAGAAGGAGTTGCTCGCGGTGGTGTTTGCCTTCGATAAATTCCTTCCTTATCTGGTCTTGTCCCATGTGACCGTGCATACAGATCACTCCGCGATTCGATACCTGATGAGCAAGGCCGATGCCAAGCCTAGGCTCATACGATAGATCTTACTGTTTCAGGAGTTTGACATTGAGATTCGGGACAAGAAGGGAGCGGAGAATGTTGCAGCCGATCACCTCTCCCGGCTGGACGCACCCCCTGCGGACAACCTCGAGGAGGAGATCAACGACTCCTTCCCAGATGAGAGACTGATGATGATGTGCCTGGTGGAGAGTGTCACCCCCTGGTATTCTGATTTTGCGAACTATCTGGTGGGCCAGCAGCTACCCAAGGGGATGACAACCCACGCCAAGAGGAAATTTTTCTCCGACCTGAAGCACTACTTCTGGGATGACCCTCATCTCTTCAGGATCGGAGCCGACGGGATAATCCGTCGATGTGTTATAGAGAGTGAGATGGAGGGCATTCTATCTCACTGTCATGAAGGACCTACTGGCGGTCACCACGGAGGAAACCGCACAACGAGGAAGGTGCTACAGTCGGGCTTCTACTGGCCCACACTCTTCAAGGACGCAGACACCTTCGCACGCAGGTGCGACCGATGCCAGAGGTCAGGTAACATCTCTGCCCGTGATGAGATGCCCCAGAATGTGTTTATAACTTGTGAGATTTTTTATGTCTGGGGTATCGACTTCATGGCCCCCTTCCCTCCATCTTTTGGTAATACCTATATCTTTGTTGCTGTTGACTACGTCTCTAGGTGGGCTGAGGCGCAAGATTTGCCCACTAATGATGCTAGACGTGTTTGTGGTTTTCTGAAGCAGATATTCTCCCGGTTCGGGACACCTAGAGCCATCATAAGCGACCGAGGCACCCATTTCCAAGGCCAGTTCGATAAGTTGCTGTCTCGCTATCGTGTAACTCATAAGGTGTACGTGGCCTACCATCCTCAAACAAGTGGCCAGGCCGAGCTGACGAACCGGGAGCTCAAGCGTATCCTGGAGAAAACGGTGAATCTATCCCGCAAGGATTGGTCCACCAAGCTCGATGATGCTCTATGGGCATACCGCACTGCCTACAAGACGCCCATTGGTACCTCACCGTACCGGCTTGTCTATGGAAAGGCATGCCATTTGCCCGTGGAGCTGGAGCACAAGGCCTTCTGGGCCCTTAAACTGCTAAATTTGGATGTTAGTGTTGCAGGTGTTGAGCGCAAAATGAAGATGCTGGAGCTGGAGGAGTGGCGTTATCACGCCTATGAGAACACCAAGATATAAAAGGAGCGCGCTAAGCGCCTGCACGATGCACGGTTGCGGGGTCTGAAAGAGTTCCACGTTGCTGATCGAGTTCTCCTTTATAACTCTCGCCAGAAGCTCTTTCCCGAAAAACTCCGTTCCCGGTGTTCTGGACCGTACACGGTCACACAGGTGTTCCCGTATGGCACGATCGAGATTGCCAACCCGCAGATTGTACCATTTAAAGTGAATGGCCATCGTCTCAAACTCTACTTGGGAGGCGAGGTCGAATGTTCGAAGTTGGCAGTGGACTTCACGGACCCTTAGTTCCGCCATGGGCGTCCAGCTAAAAGACGGTAAAGAAACGCTTGTGGGGAGGCAACCCCACCACGGTTTGCATTTCTACCCTTTGTTTTTTTTTTCATTTTTTGTCGGTTTTTGAGTCTTTGAGTCTGTCTGGAGTCTGTCTGGAAAGTATTTCGTGCGTCGGGCGGTTCTTTTTAATGTGTGATTGGGTAAATTTTAGAGCCGGGGCACGAATGAGTCTTGGTGGTTTGAAATTGGAATTTTGAAAAAAGGCAGATTGGGCTCGGCACTAAAAGCACGGGCACCAGGGGAGGAAAACACGGTCGTGTTCTCCCTCCTGCCCGCCCGTGTTTTAACCTTTGGCTTGCACTGCTCGCAGCAGTAAAAACACGGGCGCGGGGCTTCCAAAACACGGTCGTATTTTGGTCCCAGCTCGCCCGTGTTTTCAAAGGGGGGAAACACGGCCGCGACAGTAAAAACACGGGCGCGGAACACGCCGAACACAGCCGTGTCCCAGCCCGCCCGTGTTTTGCCCTTCCCCCTATAAAATTCGATTTTCAGCCCCCCCTCCCACCATATTCATTTTTTTCAAAATTCTAACCGCCTCTCTCGCCGGAAACTCGGATTTTCCCTCTTCTTCTTCAATTTTACGGCCATAACTCCCTCTCCCGACCTCCAAATCACGAACCGCGACCGCCCCCACGCTCCTGGCGTCGAGGAGCACAATCCCCAAAGATTTGGGCTTGTTTGGCCGAGGTTGGGTCGCCGACGGCGAGTTCTCCGGTGTGTTTTCCGGCGACTTAGGGTGTTTTCTTCCACTTTCTTCACCTCTCTCGTGGTCTCTACTTGCGTCTCCAGGTGTGTTCTCATTGTCTTTTCTTTTATTTCTGGAGAATCGATACCTAGAGTTAGGTGAAGAACTTGTGATTGTGGTATGATTTGCGGATGATTGGGTAGGCCGATGACGCTCTCTGCTTGTTCTATTTTTGCCTCGGGATTTCAGTCATTCAGCCTACCATTTGCATGTTGCATTGTATGCGGGCTTGTGTGGTTTGTGTGTGGTGGCTCGATTGGTGCTTATTTAGTACGGTTTTGGTATGCTTGTTTCACCGGGGCCTAGTCCACTGTCTGAATCGCTCGATTTGAGGGTCCCCGGTGTGTTTTGTTGTGTGATTCTCGTGTGATGGGTATGCTTGTTTCGCCGGGAGTCTAGTCCACTGTCCATATCTTTCGATAGGAGGGCTCCCGGTGTGGTTTTGGCCTAACATTGACCCTGTTCGCTTTTGTACCATTTGTACTTGTGCTTTGCAGGATCATGGAAGCCTACCTCGACCAGTTGAGCATCACCCAACGCCATCTGCTGCGGACCATCCGTAACCGCACCATCGCCGAGCACCTGCACCTCGATTTTGAGGTGTTCGAGGCGCTTCATGTCAGGCCGCAGATGGAGGCCGTGGTTCTCCCCTATGGTTGGCGGCGCCTTCTCTGCCTCGCCGAACCGACCTACCAGGAGCTCGTCTGGGAGTTCTACGCTTCTTTCAGCCATGCCTTGAAGGGGTCCGCCGACCATGCTGATGCGGTTCGTTTCACACTCGGCGGGGTGGAACACTCCGTCATTTACTGGGAGTTCGCCACTGCACTTGGACTCAACTCCCTGCACTCCAGCGACCGGCCCCTACGCTTGGACCTCTCTGATCCCACCGACTTTGCTTCCCAGGCTTACTTCCACCGAATTTGCCTGCCGAACCATGTGGATGAACAGTACACTGCCAGCCAGACGCGGGCCGCTCTCCTTCGTTTGGAGTGGCGGATCCTCAACCACTTGCTCACCAATTCCTACACACCCAGCAAAGGTTCGTCCAACTGGGTCACACTCCGGACACTATTCTTCATGCATGCGATGGGTCGTTCTGAGGACACCATCCAGCTGGGCTCTGTGCTTGCCCGGACGTTCACCAAAGCCGCCGCCAGCCAGAGTCGCAACCTTGTATGTGGCCCTGTGATCACCGCCTTGGCCCGCTACTACGGGGTCGACTTCACTGGGATGACCTTGGTCCAAGGACCAACCCCGCTCAGCGAGGCCACCCTCCGCCACCAGCACATGGTTGCTCGCCACGGGCGTGTGCACTGGATCGCAGGCCTTCCTCAGCCACCTCTACCTGCAGCGGGTGACCAGCCAGAGTCGAGCGGAGCTGGGGGGACGTCGGGTTCCCCGTCGTGCTGTTCGTCGTGACCAGGCTCCTGCGAGCCCCTCCGCTGCTCCCCAGTCCCCTGCTCCCAGGTCTCCGACTCCCGGGTCTCCTCCTCCCGTGGTGGTGCCTATTTCTGACTAGTTGGCGGCCATCGCTCAGCAGAACGAGCGCATCCTGGCCGGCTAGGAGCGCATTCACACCCGACTCGATCGTGAGCGGGACCGAGGGCGTCGTCTTATGTCAGGTCAGCACTACATCATGTCCTACCTGGGCTTGGACCCGAATGCAGTCCACTACCCGTTCGTGCAGTCCCCGGGGTATGAGGACGAGTACCCTCCACCCACCGGCGATGGTGGTGATGCATTCTAGTGGCGAGTGGCTGGTTCTGTGCCTCATTTGTGTTCCAGACTAAGACTCCATGTTTTTGTTGTTTCGTTTTGTTTTTTTTTTATCTTGGATTGTAGACCTGGAACTCCGGTTCTTTCACCCAGTGTGTGTCTTTTGTTGTCTTTAGCTCTGCGCCTTGGATTGGTATCCCTTATCTGGACTGGTCTGCCTTCCAGTCCCCATTCCTATTCTCTTTTCACGGTAACATCGTTCCCCTTCCCTCTGCTCCATTGAGGACATTGTCGCATTTAAGTGTTGGGGGGGGGGGGTTCTTTGTATGAATTGGAACGTATATATGTGTGTTTGGAGCCTAGTCCGCTGTCCAAATCTTAAGATTTGAGGGCTCCAAGCACTGCTGTTTGCCTGATGTTTGATCGTATTGGCACTGGGATGTGATTAGTGAATTGAATGGCTTTTGACTTATTGCATGACAACTTGAGTGTGACTAAGACAACTTATTATGATGACTGAGATGTGCAGTAGAATTGTGTAGGGGTTCAGTTTTTCAACTGTTTGCTTACCAACTGTGACTTGGATTGATCACTTGCTTTTGACAGTCATTTATGCATCTAGTTCAGGGAATCAGAACGAGAGATAGAGCATATAGGTAGCCATGTGAGACTTGAGCCTACTCGTTTCTTTCTTGTGCGATAGTTCCCTCTTCCATGATGTGCAGCATTCACGTTGTCATTAGCTAAAATGATGGAGGCATAGGATTAGCCCACGACCAAATTGACTGTCCTGGTGTGTCATACCCCCTAGTCAGCCCCTTTGAGCCGTGTGTTACCCTTTCTTTCGGTCAATATGCAAAAAATCACCCTTTTGCATCTCTTAGAAGGTTCCACAGAGTGGTTTTTACATGTTCTCTGCTATTTCTGCTAAATATAATGTGAGGGTTGGAGGTAGTTCTTAAAAATTTGGGCAGGTGTTTGAAAAATGTGCAGAGGTGGTGGTTCTCTTAAGAAATGAAAAAAAAATGAATGAAAGAAAAACAAAGAAAAAAAAATGAAAGCAAAAGAGAGCCACCACCAAAAATCTTAATAGTGCCCATTAAGTAGTGTTTCTTAGCAGTCTGGCTTAGAAATACTAGCATTTATGTGACCTCCTTCGCTCTTGTGCTCTGAAGAATTTGAGTAATGCAGAATAGCAGAAAGAAAGTTATTGGTTTGATTGACTGTGAGTTTGTTGGGTTTGGAAATGTGGAACCTTGTGCTATGAAAACTTCCACCACCTAAAAGGCCTTTTCCCCATGTCCAAGACCCTAGTCAGTCATCTGAACCTGTGTCTAAGACCTCCGGATTAGTTAGTGGTGACACCCCATATGTGAATTCTAGCATTTAGAGGCTGCATTCATGGTGAAGAGACGTTAGGGATTGAGAGAATAAGCATGCGCATTTTTCGCATCAAATTGTCCTGACCCCACTGGTCGAGAGTGAGCGATTCATTTTCTCATATTCTCTATACTCTTTATCTCGGTGAGGACCTAGATTGCTCGGTCTTAATTCTGATATCTTGAGCTTTGTGCATGAAGTGACTGTCTCGAATATGTGGTTGAGTCAAGTCTATGTTGGTTGGTGAACAGAAGGGAGACTCTTCCTTTGCTCGACTTTACTGCATTCGAATGTCATCTGTGGTGGTTGTCTAGGTTGTCATTGAGGTTGTCCATGTGTTAATGATTGAAAGCCAGTATGATCCACGTGTTTTGTGCCGATATGATATGCCCTAAAGCATGCTTGATTGAAACGTTTTGAGCTTACCTTGTGTCTGACTTGGTTTGCTTGGGGACAAGCAAACAGTTAAGTGTGGGGGAATTTGATAACAATGTAATTGCACATATTTGCATCCCTAGTTCTTATCCGTTTGAGGGGCATAGTCGTGTATTTTTGGCCTTTTTTACGCCGGGTTGTGCTACTTTGTCATATTTCAGGTCCCAGACGTCGAAGTAAAGGCTAAGCACGAGTTTCGGGGCATTCAGAAGTCATTCGGTCGAGCTGGAGCCAAAACACGGGCACGCCTAAATCAAAGCACGGCCGTGTTCCTGGACCGTGTTTTTACTGCCGAGGCTTGATCCAAGACTGACAAACACTAGCTCAAAACACGGGCAGGACTGACCCTGAACACGCCCGTGTCCATCATCAAACACGCCCGTGTTTCCCCAAAGTCTAGCCGTGTATTTACCACGTGGCAAGGGCACAGGCTGGCTGGAGCAAAACACGGTGGTGCCCTCGACCGTGTTTTGCCCAGTGATGCCCTTTTAGGCAGATTCAGCCAAAAGAGAAGGGGATCCGAGTTTTAGAGAGACAGAGCGATTCCTAGAGAGAGAAAGCGACGAACCAGAGTTCCCAAGTGCCATAGCTTGATCTTCATCACCATTGGAGCCCGGCTTGAGCTTGGAGAAGTGCTGATTGACAACCAGGAGCAGAAACTCATCCTTCACAGTATGATTTCCGCGTCAGAATCAGCTTTTGCTTCTTTCTCCATGGAGTAGTTCTCCCATTCATCTGCGTATGGAGAACCCTAGATTTGTATGTTAGGTCTGATTGTATGAACCCGACTACAGATTTCATGAGTTGATTATATTCGATTGAGGCTTGAATGATTGAATGACTTGAATCCTGATCAAATTCCTCTTGTTTCTGCTTTAACCTAGAATGAGAATATCTGCCTAGGTTGATAGAGCACCCTTAATTGAAGGTGGCGAATTGGTGACTTTAGTCGAGGAGCCAATTCGCTATTCTGTACCAAATTCAATTCGGTAGTGGAGGTTTGGTTCGTTAGGGCCTCAATCTGTTTACTCCGGTGGAGGTTAGTCGCCCGCTGGAGACTCAGATTGAGAGGGTCTGGAGACCTTTAGTCGAGACTTCAGACTGTTTAAGAACCTTCCGCAGTATAACTTTCATGGAAACTGAACTTGGTAAATTGCAATCCGGCTTAACTGCAGTCTAGGGGGAACCATATCCGGGTGACCTCTCTCGACTTGAAAACAACCGTTTACTTGCTTTGTTTGTTTGTTAATTTGGACTTGCACTAAAGTTTCACTGCTAGATAACAAGAATTCACCGAGTAGTCATCAAATCTAGGACCCGGGTTGACATTAAAATCCAAACCCACTATACTACGCTTTAGGAAGTGGTTACACTTGGCCAATTTCTAGAGTGACAGTAGGAGTGAGTCACATCCCAACTTCTCTTGGAGTGGCAGTAATCCTCATCCACCAGCCTCCCAAGGACCACCATATTTCCAGCAACCGCCATACCAGCCCAGGCAGGGGCAATTCCAATAGAAGCAGCCTTTTTACCAGCCCAGACCGGGGAAAACTCTTCAACAGCCAAGGACATTCCAGCATCTAGGCGCAACTCTAACAGTCCCAGTACATCACGATCTGATAGCTAAACTACGGGACTTGGTGGGTTCTCTTGCCAGTTCCAGTGCTTACAGATTCAACAATATCGAGCAGTTCATGGAAAAGGCCTTGAGTAAATTCCTGGCTCTTGAAGCTAGCCAGAGGAACACATAGGCTATTTTGTAGGATATCCAGACCCAGCTGGGAAGTCTGGCTCAAGCAGTGGCACAGTGAGCTCCGGGTACCTTGCCCGGTCATACCATCCCTAATCTGAAGGACCCGAATGTCCACTGTAATGTTATTACTACAAGGAGCGACAAAGTGACAGCAGACCCACCTGTCCTGGCCAGACAGGCGGGAGAGAGACCTGACTCAACACTTCCAGCTGATGAAGAAGAAATGGAGAAGGAGAGTGAGGTGTCTACTCCTAAGCCACAACCAGTGGTGAAGGAGTATGTCCCTCAATTTCCCTTCCCTACTCGGTTACACAAAGACCGACTGGAGACTGAGTTTGCCAAGTTCATGGCAATGCTGAAGCAGGTGAACATAAGCATTCCTTTCGTGGAGGCATTGTCGAAGATGCCCACGTATGCTAAATTCATGAAAGATCTCCTCGCCCACTAGAAGAAGAGGCTGAGTGAGTTGGCCATTGTGGAGCCCAGCGAGGAGTGCTCGGCCATTCTGCAGAACAAGCTTCCGCATAAGCAAAAGGACCTAGGTAGTTTCACGATCCCATTTTCTAATCGATAAAATGCATGTTGAGAGGTCCTTGGCAGACCTAGGTGCTAGTATTAATGTTATACCATATACTCTATACAAGAAGATAGGCCTAGGTGAACCTAGAAACACTAGGATGGGTATTCAATTAGTTGACCGATCTGTAGTTCATCCTAGGGCATAGTGGAAGACCTCCTGGTTAAGGTTGGCAGATTATTTTATCCTCCGGATTTTGTTGTCTTGGACATCAATGAGGACGCAGATGTGCCCCTTATTCTAGGTAGGCCTTTCCTGGCTAGCGCCAAGGCTCTCATAGATGTGCATAATGGGACCTTGATTTGGAGAGATGGCGAGGAGCAGATAACATTTTCCATTGCTAATAATATGAATGTTATCTCGCTTGTGCATGCTTTATCTCACTAGGTACACGAGGCTGTTGTGTATCCTTCTATGCCTCCCGTTTTGCAGGACTTTGCACCCCCTCCTCCTCCACCACCCCCGCTTCCTGAGTTACCAAAAGAGCGGATTAAGGAGGAGTGGAGGCCGAAGCGGCAAGTAGCTAAGCCTGCTCAAAAGAAAGTTGGAGACCACTATGAGCTGGTCCCGGCTCTTGAACCACGCCCGCCCTGGCCATCTGAGTATTCACTCACTTGCATCCTGTCGGATGGCCAGGCCGCGCTGACATGTGCTGGTGGTCACACCCGTCGTGTGCATGGCCATGATCTGAAGTTGTACCTCAAGAGCGATGTGGATCCGCTCTTGGACGCACCTGTTCCTACACCGTTCTGAGCATCCACCCTCTAGCTAAAGTCATGGTTTGCTCTTTTTTTTTGTTTATTTTTTGTTTTTTTCCACTTGGAACTATGGTTTCTTTCACCCAGTGTGTGTGTTTTCATGACTCTAGCTTTATGTCTTTGGACTGGTCCCCTTCCAGTCCCCTCCTCTTGACTGGTCTGCCCTCCAGTCCCCGTTCCTGATCATCATTTCACGGTAACATCGCTCCACTTCCCTTTGATCCATTGAGGGCAATGTTGAACTTAAGTGTGGGGGTGTTTCTCTTTGACTGAATAGATGAGTTTGTGTGCTTGGAGCCTAGTCCACTGTCCAAATCTCGAGATTTGAGGGCTCCAAGTACTGATGTTTGCATGATCATATGGACATGTGGTTTTTGTGGTGAATCGAATGACTATTAAAATTGATGCATGACAACTTGATTGTGACTAGGACAACCTATAATGATGACTGAGACATGCAATAGAGTTGTGTAGGGGTTCATTTTTTCAACTGTTTACTTACCAACTGTGACTTGGATTGATCACTTATTTTCTACAGTCGCTTATGCATCTAGTTCAGAGAATTAGAATGAGAGATAGAGCATATAGGTAGTCGTGTGAGATTTGAGCCTGCTCGTTTCTTTCTTGTGCGATAGATCCCTATTCTATGATGTGTAGCATTCACGTTGCCACTAGTTTGGATGATGGAGGCTAGGATTAGCTCACAACTAAATCGACTGTCCTGGTGTCCTGCCCCTAGTCAGACCTTTTGAGCCGTGTAATTTCCTTTCTTTTGGTCTACAATGAAAGATCACCCTTTTTGCATCTCTTAGAAGTTCCACAGAGTGGGTTTTGCATGTTCTCTGCTATTTCTGCTAGAAATAATATAAGGGTTGGAGGTAGTTCTTAAAAGTTGGGCATGTGTTTGTAACAATGTGCAGAGGTGGTGGTTCTCTCAAGAAAGAAAAAAATGAATGAAAGCAAAAGAGAGCCACCACTAAGAATATGAATCATGCTTATTAAGTAGTGTTTCTTAGCAGTCTGGCTTAGAAATACTAACACGTTGTGACCTCCTTCACTCTTTTGCTCTAAAGAACGTGATTAATGCAGAATGGCAGAAAGAAAGTAATTGGTTTAAATGATTGTGACTTTGTTGGTTTTGGAATTGTGGAACCTTGTCCTATGAATTCTTCGACCACCTAAAAGGCCTTTTCCCCATGTCAAAGACCCTAGCCAATCATCTGAACCCGTGTCTAAGACCTCCGGATTAGTTAGTGGCGACACCCGATATGTGAACTCTAGCATCTAGAAGTTGCCATCATGGTGAAGAGACGCTAGGATTGAGAGAATAAGCATGCACATTTTTCGCGTCAAATTGTGCTGACCCCACTGGTCGAGAGTGAGCGATTCATTTCCTTATAAACTTTACATTCTTTACCCCGATGAGGACCTAGATTGCTCGGTCTTGATTCTGATGTCTTGAGTTTTATGCATGAGGTGACTATCTTGAATGAGTGGACGAGTCAAGTCTATGTTGGTTGGTGAACAGAAGGGAGACTCTTCCTTT